AACGACGTGGACAGAAATCATGGGCTCGTATTGGCCAGCTGCCTGTCTCAGAGGGCAACCTCTGGCGCGTGATGGTAGGACCTGAGCCAACCCAAGGGCATGGGTTCTTTGCTGGAATGCCGTTGCCAAATATGCCTATTATGCAGCACCGCCCAGCCGAAGGATTTGATATACCTTTATTTAGACCGATTACTCCTCTGCTTGATATGCCTCCGATGACTGCAGGCAGGAGCTGGCTACCGGGTGAGCCACAAGAATACGAATTTCGCCTTAGCACCGAAAACGAGTACGGCGTCAGTGAACCGATCTATTCACGAATTTCAATTTCACCTAAAGAAATCTCTCGGCCTGTCCACCTGGCAAGGCGATTATCACTTCCAAGACATACTTCAGAGGAAACTATTATTGAACCCTACGAGCCGGTGACCACCCATATTCTACCTGCTCCCCGGGGTCCGATACGGTTGGCGACGCCTAGTATCGCACCATTGGCTCCGACAGGCAAAGAAGATCGCCGGCTGGCGCCGTCTCATGGGCAACTAGAGGGGCTCGAGGTGACCTGGAAACCTCCTTATGACACTGATAGGGTGTCTGGCTATGAGGTGCTTTATCGTAGTCCATTCGATACATTGTGGCAGCACCTGGCCTTTCGAGATGTGAGTGCCCCGCATATGGCATTGCCCTCAACGCTACTACAAAGACTACCCGAAACCTTAACTATCGGCATACGGTCATTTGGGGACCGTCATCCCACCTCATTGAGACGGCCGATATCAAAGTTTATAGAGGAGACTGTCAGTATCCCGCGCACATCTCTTCCGACGTCACTGCATAAGCCGCTTCACTTGCCTTCGAGCCCAGACACATTACAGCCTACGACTTTAGGGAGCCAAGCGCTCGATCGACCAGTGTTGTTTACGGGTCAAGCTCCATTGGGACATGTGCAAGCCAGCGTTATTCATGAGGCCTCGGATCTGTGGCCAAGCGGTGAACAAGTCTCTATCTCCTGGGATTTGTCGTCTCGTAGAGTCCGCCGAGCGAATTTCGGCCTGGCTGGCTTACAAGAACCGGATACATACGCCATTTTTGCCCGGCCCCTTGGTTGCTCCGAGTGGCATGAGGTTAAACGAGTCAGGACTGATCTACCATCGCGCCTTGGTCGCGCCAGCATCGGTACCCTCCCAAGTGAAGTCGATCTTTATCTGGGAGTTGCTCCAGTTTCCGGGCGCCAGATAGGCCCAATCACTAGCATCCTCGACCCTATCCGTATTTCTGCCGCATTATCATTGCCTGGTGGCTCAAGTGACCTTCCCTGGGACCGTCGGGTCCGTCTTCAAAGCATCCCGCTTGAGGTCGTTCCCTCGGGTGTCAGCACGGCTCATACAATATGGCGGCCTCCAGCTGAAGTTTTAGACATTTTACTGCCACTGCGACCTTCACAGTATTACATGGAAACCCGACGCCCAGGTCAGCCACATTGGCAGCCAGTTGGGCGATCCATAAATGGCTTCGATTTGGAGCGGACTCGATCCCCACTCGGCAGACACCCATTCACTCCTCAGTTAGCAGATAAAGATCAGGCTTTCCTGGTGGATAATCTCAAGCCGGGCGAGTATCTTGACCTCCGTCTGATGGCTCAGATAACTGGTGGCAAAGAACCGATTCAAGTCAGCGAGATCACACCATACAGATTTAAACCACCTTATGGTGAGCTAGTTTATGAGTTAGGCAGATTACGTGTTTTATATTCTTAATAATCTTGATCTAGAACCTTAAGTTCAAATATCATCCATTGATTTCCTTCAATTCGCTTTTTATTTCAGCGTCTGTAACGAAAAATAATTTTTTAGCAGATTATTTAGATAAAACTCTACTGACAGTATAACAGAGGAGTAAGAATCACTCGGAGTCACTCGGAGAATCTATCACTATAAACTAGGGCCGATTTCGCTTGATATATAACATTTGGCATTCCAGGAGAGCTTGGCACGATTTCGTCGGATCGGGAT